TCTAATGGGAAATGTTGAAATTTAATTAAAACAATGTAAGTTTAACAGCAATCATATATCTCAAAGTTTCTTCATAGACAACCTTTGAGCTTTGTTTTCCATTTACCAACAAATAAAGATTTTGAAGTGATCCCACCCTTCAACACCCTACATCTCATTAACCATGAGAAAAGCATGGTTGTTTGAGAAACAATCCAGCAAACTATCATACTTTGACCTTGAAACCCTTTAGATTATTCAACATTGTCTAAAGCATCAACCTGCCATTATTGTTTGAGATTGATCCAATAGGCTGGGAGTAATTAACCAACAGGCTTTACAAAATAGAAATAGGGTTAAGTTCAATTCTGACCCTCTTAGGACATTCCCCATAGTTCATAGTGTTTATATAAAAAGTTTGATTGAGATTGGCCAATAGGCTCAGAGGAGTTAGTGTGCAAACAAACACACATTTTGTCTTTATACATATATGTATATGTGTGTAAGAAAAGAAAATCAAAATCAAACAGAAAATTGTGAAAGAAAATGGTTGAAGTAAAGTGAATCAATCATGGGTTAGAAAAACTTTCAGGTTAGCACTAGGAATTACAAATGACAATTAGAGCTGACAGAGAAAAACAAAAGAGCATTCCTGTGCATACTACTACTAAACTCTGTGTTGATAATGGAAAAACAAAAGAGAGAAAGATAATAGTTTTCTGGGGAAAACTTTTCAATGGTAAATGGTATCAAGAACAAAGAGTATTAACAATATCTTAACAAGACAAAAACAACCAACTTCAAACAGGTTGATTAAGATATTAAATGAGACATATAGATAAAATTTACCTACAAAAAAAAAAGTTTTTTACAACTTCAAAAACATAAGGTTTATAAAAAAATAGCAAAATGTAATATATAACACAAATTAAAACATAGTCCAAAAGGAAAACTGACAATTAAACCACAACCAGCCAAATGTTGGTAAAAAAGAAAAAAAAGAAAAAAGAAACAGTATAGATATTGACATTGATAACGAAATACACAAACTATCAAAAATGCATTTTAAACCAAAAATGTCTATCTAATGATCTTACAAAAATTTCTGTTTAACCCTTTCACTGCAGTTGGGACATATATTTCCTAGTGCATATATTTCTCAGATGCAGTGAATTGGTTAATGATAATCATATTCAAAGAAATATTTTTGGAACCATACCTTAGCTAGCTCAATTAATGCTTGAATAGATACTTGGTCTTCAATTAAAGCTTCTTTCACTTCTGCATCTAATGTGAGATATGCCAGGCCCTCTGCTGCCCACTTTCTCAAATCTTTGTCTTTGGCAGGGTTAACAAGCAATCTGTAGAATAAGTAACTTTAATACTGAAAATATTTTACTTTTTCCTTCATATAGTGACAATGTATATGTGTAATTCTATATATTTAAACAGTGAATATTAAAATTATAGAAACCTGAATCACAATGATTAAGGAACTTAAAACATTATTCACTCTAATGAAAAGTACACCTTGAACTAACGTTTAGAGTGAGTTAAAGATAAAGTTTTATTTGAAATATTATAATGGAAATATAGGGAATTGGTTGACTACGAATTTAAATGTAAACTTTCTTAATTGATAAAGAAATTAAGAATGTAAACACTGAACAATCTGGATAAATAAATCTGAGTCTAAAACTTACTCAGTATGGAACAATTCTGAATTTTGAACATATAATGTAAACAGGTATTGACATTTTTCCATACAATGAGGTCAAAGTGTACATCACAACTTTCTCTAGTGTTTCATTCAAAATTTAATCAAGCAGCTTTATTATTCACTTATGTCAATAAACTTGGGATGAAAATAGTTTATACTTAAATTATTTATATTATCTAAGTTTGTACTGTTTAATTTCAAAAAGAAATATTTAAAAATCTCATTCTTCATTTTTCTGTGTCATGTGACACAACTGAGCTTAAATTGTTCCACTTCAGAATTTTCTAACTTTAAAAAATGAGCTACTGTAGTTTCCAAACAACTAGAAACACAAACTATAGTATTTAAAAGCAAAAATATAAAATTTGAGGCTTCTACCATCTTTATTTCCTGAGATATCAGTAACTTTGTTAAAAGCACCAAAGAAGTCCCCTCTCTTGACTTTTGACATTGTTTGCTAATCAACTTTACGTGGCTGATGGACATGTTTATAATCAACAAAAAGAGCAGATCTCCTCTACATAAACCTTAGAATTATGCATCAGATTTCCCACATAACACATTAGTCAAGAAGAATTTCTTGGTTTGTGTTGACCAGATCCGGTGTCCTGAATAGAAGAATTTCTTGGTTTGTGTTGACCAGATCTGGTGTTGACCAGCTAGACATGCTGCCCCAACTGGGAAATCAACTAAACAAATATTTTATATATATCAAACTTTTATTGAAGAAGAAAACGTATTTAGACGAGCTGTACTGTAACTAATAAATATGTCAATAACTTTTGGCAAGTTCAATTTATCCACATCATTCTTCAGGATATTGAGACAAGCAAGATGATACATGTGAGACTGTGACATGGTGAGGCACAAGCAATACATCAGCTTCCTTAGGGCAAAAACAATCTTTCAGCAATACATGTAGTCAGTGGAGCCACTATATAGATTTTGAGCAGGGTGAAAAGTGATGGAAAATGTCCTTAAGCACAAGATTTTTGTGCGCATTGCTTCACAGAAATAATGTATGGAAATCTTTCATGAATCTGGAAAATTCTTAGTGATGACACTGTGAACTTGGTTCAATTTCAAGTTTCACACAGTCCTTTGATTTTAACAGCAACAGGTCATCTTGATAAATGTTATACATTTCATCAATATCAGTTTCAGATTGCTTACATAGATTTCTTGATCACTGCTAGTTTATGTAAATCATCTGTAGGATATCTCACAGAAGCTGATTAAATAGCAGTTGCAAACACTGATTGGTATATACTTTCAAATTCATATTATATAGAATGTCAGACATTTGCACCTCTGTGCAATGCAGGCTCTTCAATGCCTATAGAATTAGAAGTAGATAAAACAGACTTGTAAAACTGTTGCAATGCCAGCATCATTAGCATCCTACAGAAGAGAAGCCATGCCTTCAATTTTTGAGCATACAAACTGCACTGAAACATGAGGTGACTGTATTAGCATGTGCACTGGCTGAGTTATTGTAAACAGCTTTAGACCAAAAAACACTTTGAACTTCTGCATGCTATTAATATACCCACAAGATTGCACATTTGATGGCAACTCAGTATCATTACAGATTTCCTCCAACAAACTGTCATATTGAGCTACAAATTCCATTACAGCATTGCCTCACAAAACCCTGTGTGTTGGACACAGTAGTCAAAAAGTGGCAGAAGGAGCATCATCCATTGTAAAGGCTTCGTATGATAACTTTCTCTAAGGGGGAGTATTAAATAATTGCAACCACCTTTCATAGAACTTCCTGTGATTCCACCAAGTACAAATGAGTATTTACAGTATCTTGGACTATCAAGTTCAGTTTATGACTGGAACAGTAGCTGAAAGTGCATTTTGGATGTTCATTTAAAATTCCTGTTACTACTCCACTTTTTTGACCTTTCATTGTACTGGCTCCATGATAACTCTGCACGCGAGCTTAATTAATATCTAATCTATATGATAATAGTCCTTGTTTGATTGTCTTTGTAATATTTTCAGCTGTCGCATTACTGAGAACAGAGAATGCTATCTATTTCTCAAGTACATTTAAATCATCATTGACATATCACACACACAAGCTTAATTGCTCCTGATATTCCAAACTTCATCACAAATGATGCCAAAAAAACAGTTGTTAACAGCTTCCACAACGTTATAGAGCACATTATGAGCTATGAGTTCCATAATTTTATTCTGTGAGACCCAACTGCAGTATTCATTACGGACATGTGAAGAAAAATATGTATTAAACTGGGGGTTGTGCTTTGAAACCAGCTTCAACAATTCCATAAAGTTACCTTCATGAGCCTCAGTGCCCCTGTATGCCAAACCTTGCTTTCCCAAATATATAATAGCATCAAAAATCATCTCAAGTGCTTTCCTACATGCCTTCCAACTTTCAATGTGTTTGCTGCTAACATACTTTGCCATTGCATTTTGTGTTTCGATATTGATTTTTGTAGTCATGCATTCTCTCCCACTCTGACTTTGTAGACCATCCTTGCCCTTTCTAAAACCATTCCATCCTATCACACATAGAGGAAACTGAGGAATGCTGTGATGGAAGTAAGCAATTACCTTGGACGGCCCACGTACGTACAAAGCAAATTATATCATTCATATCACACCTGGATTCAAACCCATGGGTTTTCCAACTTTCCTGCATGTTATTAGTCTATGTTCTTTGTTGCATTATTTTATCAAATAAAAATTATTTAGTGCACTACTACCAAATTGTGTGAAGATACACTTAATATATTAAAAGTTTGTAGTATCTAAACTATAATAAGTACAAAGAGGTCATATGGTCAGATAAATCGACTGAGCCTGCGTTGAGAAAGATAACGTGGTTAATAATTATATTCATATGTATTGAATCAGGTACAAATGAGGATATGTAGTTGTACTGTATATGTACAATTACATTTATACATAAAACAATTTTGTGCATGCATGTCAGTAACTCAGCAATTAAATATTGAAAATGACATTATATTCCATTGCATGATTCATATGTGTATAATTGCTGAACACATAGTAAAGTGTTAATGAGTCATGTTAATCATCCTGCCATGTATTCCATTTATAGGCACTGCATTACATTTGCAACTAATTATATATATATATATATATAGCACTGGTAACTGAATGTCACAGCTCAAATAAATAACCCATTAAACTGTCAAACCTATATTAATCAAATATTATGAATTGAATGCAAACAGACTGTATTATTCTGACTGCTTTTGTTTTGTTACTCTATATGATTATGTGGTATAAAAATATACACACAGATGATCGAAAACATTTGTTAATAATAATGATTTACCCTTCATTTTCTTTCAAAATGGTAAAAATTCTATAAAATGTACTTAGAGTGTAGGAAACAAATATTACACTTAAGTCTTCTATAATTATCTGAATTAGTGAAATATACATTGTGTTCTGTATGAAGGAATTTTATTCAAATCCAAATAATCAAATAATAAACCTAGAAAAATGTTTAAAAGCAATATCAATAGTTGTTTATTGTCTTGGCCAATAAACAATGTAAATTTGCACACTAAGGGTTAGTGATCAGACTAATCTTGAGCCAATCAAGAGAAGTTTTTATACAAATACCCAAGTTCCCCAGGAAAAAAATATTTACAATTTTCTCATAAACTGGACTACCCAGGCACAAATAACTAGTATTTCCAGTGTGGAATACAACACACAGTTTAAAATTACCTACATTGGTGCATTCACTCCCCACTTATGAAAGAATTTTTAGGGTTAACCTCCACTGCCTCGCAGGTTTAGAAAAATTTGGAATAATGACCAGATCAAACATTTACATGTACATATTTATGTCCACCACAAATAAACAAATGTGTATTTAATACATACTAAAATGAACTTAATTTAGTTGATTAACAACACACATGTCAAAACTATAAGTTACATCATTATGAGAAATAAATGGTTCTTTTCAGGCATATCAATTTTTAAAATATTTATACAACATTAAAAACAAAAAATTGAAAAATAGTAAATATACAAAACTTTTTTTTATAGCATATTCCAGAAAAAGTGAAGTCTTACTTTCGGCACGACTTTGCTAATTTTTGTGTTGAACCATCAGAAAAAGGCCTGATAGCTGCATCAGTTCCTCCAAGAGACCCAAGCTTGCAAAGTCCCTAAAACAGACTTCTATTTAATAGTATATTCCATATCCAGTTCTGTTATTGAATTATAATCATGCTAAGTTGACAAGTTGTTCCATCACATATGAATAAGTATCAGGTTGAATTGCAAGAATGTGGAGTATTCGAGTGTTTATGTATCTATACGTTTGTAAGTTCTGGACATCGTAGCTTTAAGATTTCATGCAAATATGATTAATTTCAATTTTGGGTTTAATTTTATATTAATTCATCCTGAGGACATGCCTGAGGAGACAGAAGTTGTGGTAGGTTTCTATTCTTCTTGCATTTTTACAGTTAGT